TATTTAAATATATTTTTTCATTTTATAGAAAATAAAAAAAGTTGTAAAAAAATACAAAACGTTGTTTCATTATAAAAAAAACAACTATAATATAAAGCAATTTCTGAATGTTCTTGCTTTTTAAGGAAAATGTGTAAATAAAACTGACAAAATAAAAACAAATATTTTTTCATTAATATTCATATTTTTTTAAGATATTATAACTTAACTGTTGCGCAAAAAGCGTAATCATAATGCTTTCGTAAATATTTTTTTTGCTTAAAGAATTTAATAAATATAATAATGTATTTCGCATTACATACAGAAACATATCAGTAACTTAACATTAACATTTTTGTTATATGCGCTGTATGTATGCCCATATAAAAAACGTAAGCGCAAAATATTCCAGACACTCAACTCTACAAATTAGGCATTGCAAATTAGGCAGACGACTTGCCAGTTTCGGTTTTTGTGAACAATAACAAAAAAAATATATATATTTTGAAAAAAAAAATAAACAGAATTTGGAGTTGGAAATATCGCTGTAAACATTCATAATAATGTTCTTATTTTTTTATTTACAGCGTCTTTAAAAATATATGGACAACACTCACAACTTTATATTCACCACACGTCCTTGTCACTGAGCTGTCAGTGGAGCGACCATTTTCAACACACCAGCTGTCACACTGACAGACAGAGAGAGAGAGAGAGTTAAATAACTATGAGTAGGCAGCCAGCAATTATTTCATGAGAGAGGCAGAAGGATTGCTAATAGCTCATAAGTTGTGGTGGATTTCTGCAAGCAAATGTCACAGCTAAGCGGTTAAGTTCAAAAAGAGCGTAAGCGCAGTAGGAGAATACATATTGACTGCGCGCGAGAGCGAGTGACTACCAGCAAAGGCTCGGTGCCTGACTTCAATAGCCTGCGAAGCCTTGCCCAACGCCAGCCACTGACAGAACTGAGCAGCACAGCGAAGGAAGCTGTCAACGAGCGTTAAAACGGATAGCATTGCGTGTGCTGCGAACGCAAAAAAAAATTATATGTAATTATTGATACAATTGCAAGTATTTGTGAAAATAAAACGAATTTGTAGAATATAATTAGATCGAAATCGAAAAAACGCGTATATAAATCAACACAAAACGGTTATAATAAGCATAGTGAAAAGCTGCTTCAAAGCGCACACACACAGCATTTTTGGGTGTGAAAACGAAAGTGAAAATTTAGCACACAAACGAGAAACGAGTGCGCGCGTACGAGGCGACAGCGACGGTGGCGGCAAGACCACCTCCACTCCCAAGTGACGGCGGGTTATAGCGAGGCGCGCGCGGTTGACGGTGAAACGTGCGACGTGGTGCGTAGAAATTGTGGAACGCGTTGGGGCCCTAACGAAAAACGAGACATCAGGTCGTCGCTGCAGTGTTTCAGTCTTTCAGCACTTGAGTCGACAGCTTAGTCTGGCGAGGATGCTGTGCGTCGCTGTGACTGCTAAGGAAGTAACAAAAATCGGCGATTTAATCGTGTGCGCGTAGTGGCTGTGAGGACAGACTGACATTCTAGAGGTACGACACAAGTTTACCCGTGGATAAATATTGAAATCGGCAAACAACTGCAGTGCAAGTTTACGACAACGTTCTACGAATTCCCTTTGCGCTGTGATTTGTGTGTCACGTGAATAGAGCTGTGCAGCGCTCACGAAACAAATAAGGTCTCAAATAAACGAATGACGTTTAGCGCCTGCAAATATGCTATAGTCAACGATTTGGCTTGCACAAAAATAAAAAAGTGGCGAGTGTAAAACAGCTGAGCGCCTCAGACAAGGGCAGGTTAACGCCTAAAAGTGTGCTTAATAATAGTTCGGCCAACTTGTGCGTGTACGCGTGTTAACGGGCGAAAGTATGCAATGTATTATGTAAAGTTACGAGTAGTTAAGAAAATCGACGTGAAGGCTGTGAGATAAATGAAAGCTGCAACACAGCAAGTGTTTGAGTTGTGAAAATTCAGATGAAAAGATTAATTAGCAAATTTTTGTGGCGCTAAAAAGTATGCTACACTATCGTTAGTTAGGCCAAAGTGTAAAAAGTAAACAAATTAAGAAAATTTGCTCAGTGTAATATATAATCAATGCTTTGAAATAAAAAGAAATCTGCGCCTAAAAGAAGGCAAAAATTTTATGAAATACAGCAAAATAAAAGCGTTTAAGTGGCTTAGTGTTGTTGATAAAGCATGAAATGATATGAAAGCGAAAAATTAGTTTGCAATACAAAAATACATTTCGCCTAAAACTGTGCAACGTTAAGCGCAGTAGTGTAAAGTTCACAAAAAATTCGAAAAGTTGAATGCAAAAAAGTAAAGCATTGCATACATATACTACGCACACGCTTGAGCGCCCAAAAGTCTGCTCCGCTTTAAGTGATAATCAACAAAATTTGTTAGGAGAGCAAGAGAGCGTCTGGCAGTAATTTTGGCTTGCCTAAATAAATTGTCATAAAAAAGTCATAAATAACACAGCAGCACGTTTTACAGCACTTGTGCACATCTGTATATATACATAAAGGAAATCGACTAAAAAAATTCACCGCACTGTGCATATGTATGTATATCGCTTGCGCGCTCTCGTAACGCTCTCTCTCAACGCTTGAGTGCGTAAATTATTGTGACGTCAAAAGTCAAAATTAGAAGTTTTACTCCTTTTTTCGTATGCGTATGTTTTTCTTTTGATTTGATTTGTAAAAGCGCCTAAAAGTATACAAGCGTGGTGCGTGAAATGTGCAAATATTTGCCAACCAGCGGTGTAAATTCTAGTGCAATCAAAAATAAACGTTAAACAAATACTGATTAGCCAAAATAGCAACAACAGCATATAACCACAGCAGCTTTAACACGCAATCGAGTAGCGAAAATTGTCCAACAAAATGGAGCAACCCAGCATATTGGTGCGCATTCTGCACTCAATACCACATGTGAATTACACTTTTCAGCGGGTGAATGACACCTTCAATCCGGACAGTGATGTTTATCTTGAGGTTAGTACCCAAGGGTTTACCATTTTTGATAATTGGATGGCAAAAAGCCGTACAGCATACTTTAAGTTGTATATAATAATATAATTTATATAAACTATATGATTTGAGCCCATTTTTTGAACTTATTAAGTCGGTTATCACTAAAGTTTTATAAAAAAAAAATGCAATAATAAAAACTAATTAAAAAATTAATAAATTAATTAACAAAAAACCAAAAAATAAATAAAAAAAAGTTATAAAATAAAAACAAATAATACCGAGAAGAAATTTAAATTTAATTAACACAACACAAACAAAAAATGTTCTATAAAATAAAAAAGATAATATCGAGAAAAAAAGTTATGAAAAACAGTAAAAAAAAATTTTGTTGCAAACAAGAAACAAAAAAATTATTAATTTTTTTAACGTTTTTGTATATGATTCTATAAAATAATTACTTCTGAGTTTTTAGTTTAATTAATTTTTTTTTATCTTTTAAAAATTTGTATTTAAAACAATTATTACTATTTTAATAATTAATTAATTCAGTTTAAAAAAAATAATTCAAGTAATATATTTCATATTTTTTTTAATTTGTAATATTTTTTTTTATTAATTTTTAGTAAATTTTGCAGTGATGTAAATTTTTAGAAATAATTTTTGAGGAAAATTTAAAATTTATGTTAACAAAAATATTGTTTATTTCTATTTTTATGCAATTAATTTTTATACAAAATAATTTTCATTCATTCCATTTTTATGTTTTTTTTTTAATATAAGTTTAATTTAATTCTGCTGTGTTATAATATTTTTAAAATATTTTGTTGAGAAAATTTCAATTTTGTATGAATTTTTATACAAAATAATTTAACTTAAAATGGCTAAGTTTAATGTACTTAATT